CACTAACCAGTAGTTGTATGGACATATCTGGTACAGTTATATTGCAAATGAGATGTCTTTAGACATAGGCCTACCTCTTTTCTGATACAGTCACATTCCGAATTGGGGATAAGTGGCACAATAGCCGATAAGTTCAGAATGCTCACTCTGATGGTCATTATATTTGGAGAGGAAAATACTAGGTGGCTGAACTACATCACCAAATAGTCAGAATAAGAGTAACCCAATACAATAAAGTGTATTAGTTCTAAATTGCAAGCCTCTAAAACATAGGTGTAAATAATTAAATTTGTCCGGTAAAATAAATTCTGTCCGGACATTTGACCGGCGAGAAAAAAATCCTAGCGGAAACCCTGACTCACACTACAGTATGCCTTTTAGTCATGTATTCTGTACCTGCTGTGTTTATTTATTTATTTTATTTCATTATCTTTGCTTTTTATGCCTGTTTATAAATGCCATTTAATGATGTATTTATGCTATATTTGTTCTTAAATGTCTTTTGTTTTTATTTTGTAAAGCACTTTAAATCGCCACGTGCTGAAAAGTGCTATATAAATAAAATTGCCTTGCCTTGCCCCACTGTACAGGCGGGTACTTCTGGGGGCGAGGGCGGCGAGTCAGGCGGGAGTGAGCTAGTGTCCACAACGGAGGGTAACGTAATGTCCCCATCTGACCTGTTGCTATTGTCTGCAGTAGATGCAGTGTTGCTGGCGTTTAGTGATTGTTGCTTTAACCATTTTAGTATACATGGAATATATATATGGAAGCACTTTGGAAATGATGGACGCGCAGCGGAGCAGGTCACGCGCACCTGACACAATTTGTTTGTATTTTTCGCTCCGTTTTTTAACATTCAACTGGGGGTTCAATGCATGCCTATGCACCCCCGAAGATCCCTACGCGAAGCCTGAAGGGTAAACACCAGGTTTACTATTTTTTCTCTGGTGTCGGAGTGTCTCGCGATGTTGGTACATTCTTAAAAAACAAAACACCATTTAATTTCGGGTTAAAATGTGTTGTAACGGGTCAACACATCCTCACTCCCAGGTCGGCCTATGTTGACGTTATGTCAAGTCCCCTGTCGGCTTTTTCCAACGCAAGGGGGGGGGGGCCTTAGCGTCCATTTTCAACGCAAGGGGGGGGGGCCTTAGCGTCCATTTTCAGCTTTCCGGGATATCCATATGCTTCTATGGACGCTCATGGAAGCACGGCATTCGTTTGTGTCGGCTGCCCTTAAAGGCAATGTGAGCGTCCATTCTCATTGGATAACGGAGAATTGTACACCCGGAAGTAAGTATTCCCCTTACTGTCGATTGATTTTACAGTGATATCTGCACTACTCATCGACTAAAAAACACCAGATTATCCTTGTTAATTACACAACATTGATTGGTTTAAATTGTGTGCAATGCTTTTGTATTTTTCCCCTTCGATTCGGAGAAACAAATATGTTTTTGGAGTAAAGGATGGCAGAAGACACTACACTACCCAGAATCCCCCAGCTATCGTTTGGACTACACCATGTGCTCTGTTTGACGTCACGTGATCTTCAAATTTCTCCCTGAAGAAAAAAAAACATGGCCGAACTTCGTTTTATTCTCGATGGAAAATGCCTATTTTAAAGTTAGTTTGGCCATTAAAATGCGTTTTGATGTCATTTGATGCGAGAAATATGAGTTGTTATTTCAGATTATGTGTGCAGTGGATGTACATGATCTTTAGTTTGCTAGTTATTACGAAGATTACTTCAGGAAATTGCGTCCATAACGTTTTCATTGTTACCAAGGTGGTTGCTAGGGACGCTGCTATCGATATTATTTCTGTTATGTTGTGTAACTGTTTAATGGTGTTATCTTTATTGCTACCCCCCTTCCCCGTCAATGTATAGTGTTAGTCCACAGCGCAAACATATTAGTTTAACAAAATCCGCATCTAAAGATAGCCTACGTTATTTTCCCCTGTGCAATTCCAGTCTCACATCTCACAGCACATCGTCATTAACAAATAACGGAAACAGACCGAAAACATTAAAAAAAAAATACAATAATACTTTATTCCGAGTGTGCTTGCTTTTCTCTTTGGAAGTCATCACATAACGGCATTGTAATACACGGTTCGGCTGCATTAAATATTACATATCTGCCGTAGTTCTGTATTTATAGAGCCCTGATGAGAAGACTTCTAGACAAACATGAGGAACTGAAAACGTGACGTGGATCATAAATATATCAGCCATTAAACAACATCTTACATTTCTTTTCACACAATACGTCTCCTTGCAGTATCAACACTAATTCGGCTGACTTTTATATTTGATCCAATTGGTAGATAGGCTGTATTTACACCATAAAGGTGCACACCTGATATAAAGGGACACCTAGTGGTTAAAGCATGTTATTGAATTTCATTATTTTTATTATTAGATATTAATAGGATCCCTATATAGTATATTAATTACTCGTTATTCTCTACTAATAGTTAATTAAAGACTGTATATAATGACTATTTTGCACATCCCTTTCAAGATTTCAAGATTTTCTAAGGTTTATTGACATATCATATAGGCCTACACAACTATGGTGTAGTTATGCATTGAATGAAAAACTTGGGTCGCAGGTTCCTCAATAGTGCATTACAAGACATCTATCAATATTTGTGCGTACCTCCAGCAATGTTAACTATGTTGAAGCACTTATTTTAACTGATATTATACATAATGTATTATACTCTTATAAGATGTATGTAGATATTTCATCTCCGGCCTTGTCAGGTATTGAACAATCAATAAATAAAGAACACAGAATTGTTGAATATAAAACACATAATTTGTGTGATTATACTAAATGATTTACAAATAAACACCACTGCATATTTAACTGTTACACATGTAACGCAAATGTTCCAACTTGAGATCAATAAAGTATATCTTATCTTAAGCTGATCGATGGCTATACTGCCATATTTGCAAAATGTGCCTCTGAACCTTAACAAGTGCATGTTTCAGGCTTATCAATTAATGTCATGTAATGTAATGTAATGTTATCAATTAACAACAGGGGTCACAAACATAAGACCAGCTGTTAAATAAAGCTCTTCTGACCTTAGCTGGCTTGTGTGTATATATATTAATGCTGCCCATTATGGGCACAAGCAATTTTCACCCATTTATTAATTATATGTTTTAAATGTGAGTGTTTCCTATCCCCTAAACCTCCAGGGATGTACACAGTTTAATACTGGCAACTTCTTATTATGGGAAATACGAAAACGTCTTTTAAAACTACAACTCCCAGTAGAGACGTGCCATAGATACAGAACATGTTGCGAAACAGAATAGCCAGCATTTGTAGTTCTGGGGACAGGGTGGGGGAGGGGGGACGCGGTGGACCCGTTCAAATCCAGTTTTGGACAGTCTGCCGTGCATGGTTCCATCCCATTTCAAGTGCTGTTCGAGGCTCGGCGTAACCCTCGGAGCACACTCTCCAATCACAGAGCTTGAGGACTATCACGGGGTTTGTCAAACAGAGCACATGGTGTAGTCCAAACGATAGCTGGGGATTCTGGGTAGTGTAGTGTCTTCTGCCATCCTTTACTCCGAAAAAACATTTGTTTCTCCGAATCGAAGGGGAAAAATGCAAAAGCATTGCACACAATTTAAACCAATCAATGTTGTGTAATTAACAAGGATAATCTGGTGTTTTTTAGTCGATGAGTAGTGCAGATATCACTGTAAAATCAATCGACAGTAAGGGGAATACTTACTTCCGGGTGTACAATTCTCCGTTATCCAATGAGAATGGACGCTCACATTGCCTTTAAGGGCAGTCGACACAAACGAACGCCGTGCTTCCATGAGCGTCCATAGAAGCATATGGACATCCCGGAAAGCTGAAAATGGACGCTAAGGGCCCCCCCCTTGCGTTGAAAATGGACGCTAAGGCCCCCCCCCTTGCGTTGGAAAAAGCCGACAGGGGACTTGACATAACGTCAACATAGGCCGACCTGGGAGTGAGGATGTGTTGAACGGGTAGTATATTACCCAAATTTCATTAGTAACGCGTTCCATTACTTCGTTACAGCAAAAAGTAATACATTACTGTAACTCCGTTACTTTTGTAACGCATTACACCCAACACTGCCGTACAATAGTGGGACTGTGTACTGATGTCGGTTATAAATGTCTGCCTCCCCCAATGCAAAAGTCAAACTACACCTATGACAGACCCCCAAGTTTTTTGCGGGAAAACAGGCACGTAATAGGCTAGTACATTTTTCTCGCTTGTACAGCTACATCGGTCTGCAATGACATGGCAAGTTTAATATATAATGGCTCCGTGTTTTCAAGTTTCAATGAGGTTGATTTTGAACATTTTCCATCAGGCCTAATGGCTCTTAGCTCAGCAGTTTAAATACATTTGTAAAACATTTTATAGTAAGCAGGTATCGATTTGTGAATAAAATCAGAGGGAATGTTTTTGAGAAGTTTTTAGTACTTAATAAATCAGGAATTATGGAGCTGCATGAATTTAGCCTAGCACGATATTTCTACGTTTATCGTGCTTTCCTCATGCGGACATAGAATACAAAACTAAACTAAACATGCAAGAATGTAATCCCGATTTCCAGAGGGTTCTGCCTGCAGACCTCCACTGTCAGGCTCGATCCGTAAAATAATATCTCTCTGCAGCCCCGGAGAAGTAATCAAATATTTCTACCGTGAGTTCTGTGCTAAGTGCTAATTCAGAGGCTTGGTATTATCCTTGTGTTTTGTTTAGCTAAAAATGGTTAATATCAGGGCTCTCAAGTTTTGAACAGAGTTCAGAGTGAGATTTTGGCAGCGGCGGGGCTTTGGGTGGGGACGGTGGTCTTATCTGATAAATGACACATAAATTCATACAAATAAAAACATATTTATTGCATTCTTAGTGAAGGGATGTGTGTGTGTGTGTGTGTGTGTGTGTGTGTGTGTGTGTGTGTGTGTGTGTGTGTGTGTGTGTGTGTGTGTGTGTGTGTGTGTGTGTGTGTGTGTGTGTGTGTGTCAGTGTTTTTTGTTGTAGGTGTTGGTGGCAGTTTTTGAGGCCTTCAGCACTGGGGTTGGTGGCTCCCATCTGAAACAGTTTGGTTCCAGGCCTGCCATCTTCACTGTCATGATGGAGGACAGTGTTCCATCTAGGGCCAAGCTTTTCCTAGTTTTTGTCTTGTTCAGTCCAACCATCGAGAAAACCCTCTCCGCGTCGGCATTAGAGTGAGGGAGCACTAGAACAAGTTGAGCTATTTTAGTGAGCCTCCCAAACTGGCTCAAACCGGTCACCTTTAAAAAAAGGAACCAAGACACTCTATTACTCAAATGCTTTGCTTTTGATTTAAATTGATTATGTGTATGTCATGTGGTGCCACATATTTCTTACCTTGCACTTGATTGAGGACATACTCCCCCAAAACTCCTCAACATTAAAGGTGGTGGGATCTTGGGGCATGGGGATATCTATCAGCTGATATTCCAGGAACTCCTCACACACCTTGTCCTGTTCCTCCGGCCCATGGAAAGGTAGTAGTTCCTGAAATCTAAAAAGAGCACCATGTGTAAAGAACTGATTAATGTATTCAATCAAAGTATTGAAATCCTGGAAAATGTGGAAACCCTTACCTGTCTATAAAGTATAGGGCATCTTCCACCCCACACTCAGTCCTCTGCTGCACATCCACAAATCTTGTATGCCTCAGAAGAGCCTCCTTCAGAGGGAGTTTATTGATGCCATACTCCACAGCCCTGACCAGAAATGCCAGTGCTGCCTGTTGGAATAGCTGCACCTCCTGAGGTGTGATGTCTCCAGCCTCAAGGAGCCTATTGAGGGTAGCTCTGGTGGTGAAGCCAACATTTAGATTTTCTCCTACCAGACAGAGAACAGAAAGAGATAGAGAAGCAAATTAAGTCCAGGTAGTTTCAACAATGTGCATCAGGTAGAGACAGGGATTTCACTTGGCAATTTAACTCAAAACTAGACAAACAGTCAGTGTATAGATTCAGTCTGTCTAGTTTTGAGCACTATGTGCACAATAAGTGCAAGTGGTTGAAGGTATTCCTCTATGTAAGCATACCATTTTACCCATAAACTACAAGCATGGTATGCCTACACAAATGCTTTTTAACAGCCATAACAGAGATATCACCCAACTTGCCCAATAACAACAATCTTCCCAAAAAGTATATTTGAGGTCAATGAGAATACAGGTGTATCTCCTTATATGAAACTTTTACCTGACAGTTGGTTTAGTGGGTCCTTGTAGAGGATGTCATGGACTTGTCGGCCCTGTAGTGCTGACGGCTTCATGAACCTCGCACACAGTTTCTTGATGAACTTTGTCATCTGCAAATTTGTAGTTCATAAAACATTTCCATGTATTACTTGAAAAAGGACATATCAGCCAATTCAAGCAGACATACTGTATTTGGCAGCAGGATGGCCTAACCCTTGCATTTTACCTCTCCGTGGAGCTGAAAGATGGAAGACCTTTCTCTCTGGAGGAGGAGGTTCAGTAGGGTGAACACTGGCAGCGTCGCTTGATAGAAGAGTAGGTAGACTTCAGTCAGGGGGTTGGAAAATGCATTCACCAGCCTTCTAAATCTTGGTTGTTTCTCATCTGTAAATAAACACAGTCAGTGCTTAAAAGTACACATTTAGTCTGGTGTAATGCACCTGTATTACTGTCAATGAAACAAACAACATACTTAAAGACTTAAAATAGCTGGTAAGTGGCCCATACTGTCGCAGAATTCGTGTGATGCACCTCTCCAGGCTTAACCATCGCACTGAAATGTGGAGCAGCATTTCCATGTACTCGCTCTCATGGAATTCACAAAATTCTGGAAAATATAAAACATAACATCAACAGTAAACAAATTAAAAATGTCTGCATTTTGTTCTATAACAGTAGAGCTGGTTGAATCACAAACCTGCCAGGTAACCTTTAAGGTTGGTGCTTCCTTTGAACCAGTCCCCAACATCCACGGTCAGATCCTCTGGATCAAATCCGGATATCTGCAATACATGAATTCAAGTATCTATTGCAACACTATCAGCAAACTGTTTTACATGGCATTGGGCTTAACAGATTGGTAATATAGAGTGTACATGTTTGAACTTACTTCCATCAACTTCTGCCCCGCATGTTTGGCAGTGTTGTGGATGATATGACAGGGGCATCCATGGATGTAAATACTGCCATTTTCCTTCAATATTCTGGCTGAGATTGCATTTCTGGCACCTGTATTTACAGGGGCATTGTCAATAGAGAGACCTACACAATTTCTCCAAGGGATGTCATTTTCCTGCAAGGTGTCATTGATTTCTGTGTAGATCACTTCAGCGGTGCCACAGCTCCGTCCACTGGTGGTGCACATATCAAGGAACCTGTGTACAACTTTGTTGGTGTAAAAAATTCTGACAGTGAGAGGATTCATCTTCTCTAGACCTGTAACAATAAGGACCATAACTAAAACAATATGTTGTTCAAATTGTATGAGTGCATGTAGAAATGGATACAAAATAAGTACTAATTACTGATAGAAGTTGTTAAGCACATACCAGTATCATTCGAGCCATCTGTGACAAGTGTGAAGGGATTCTCTCTCATCTTCATCAACAGTTCCTTCTTAAAATGAGGTGCCACTGCTTCATTTATGAGGCACGTTGTTTTTGTGCATTGCGCTCTTAAAGCCCTGAGCTGTAGGGGAGTCTCTAAAACATTCTTTGTACAAGGGGCTGAAATGGTCAGCAACGGCAAAGGGAACATTGTGCTGCACCATTGCAACAGCAACCTTCACCTCAGCCCTCCTGGTCTGCAACAGAAACAACTGATTACATACCTCATAACCTTAAATACGTTTTCAAGGTAATATGACCATCAATTTGAAGAGAAATGTAATTCATCAAACATTGCCGCCAGCTTTTTAGTTTTCCTGTGCTACACTGTACTGTACCTTGGCCTCTTGTACACTCATGCCTCCAACAGAAGTTTCTGGCACGTAGAACTGTGCAATACTGCTGACTGAGTTTAGAGACTGTTCTTTGGCCCGATGTCCCTTGCCTTCCACATGCCTGCTTATGTCCCTCACGCCTTGATGAGCACAGGAGTTATCTTGTCTGCACACTGAGCACCAGTAGAAGGAGCTGGTGGTTCCCATTGTGATGAATGGCCATCGAGTTGACCACTCCTTCTTAAAGGAACACCTATATGTGGCTGCTCCACATAATCCTCTCCTTTTCTCTGTTTCCAATGGGTTCTCCCCAGTCTCCTCCACTGCCTCCTCTACTGCCTCCTCTACAGTGTCCTCTGATCTGGCCACCTTTTTAGGGAGCTGATTGTTTTTGAAAGCATGAAAGAATGCTTAGTTGCCTCTTTCCTGACATCTTTGAAAGACAAATGCAATAATTATTAATATGCTTTGTTTTCTGATAAAATATACTCACACTCACGCCAGGGATGGAAATGAACACAAACCATCAGCCAAATGCTGGTAAAACATAACAGTGGTTGGTAGATTTTAAATACATACAAATGTACCATTGGTTTACTACTGAATGGCTGGTAGATTTTCCCCAGTGGCTGGTAAATGTTCATGTGTTGTGTAAATATCAAATGTTTTGAAAAATTAATTTCCAGCCCTGGCGCGCGCGCACACACCGGGAAAAATAGGAGACACAGGGACAGTCCAACAAGGGAGCAAATAGCCTTGGTGCTTACTACAATAACAATAACAACAATGATAATAATAAATAACAATAATAATCATTATAATAAGTTAGTGTAGGCGCAAAATTCCGAAGAAAACAAACATCAGAATAGCTGCTGAAATTAGCTAGCAGGGATTCAACCGGCTAGATAGGCTAGTTCATGCATACTCTAGTCTAGTCAGTCAAACTGTTAGCTAAAACCTCCCTGGACATATATTCCATAACAACGGAAATCAATGATGAGATGACTTACTGTACTGAAAATATGGTCTTCTCCCACGTCGAGCAGTCTGTAGCCACGCAAAATGTCAGTGAGTGACTATGTGACAGCCGTCCTCTTTGGTTACTCTTCAGCGAGCGTCTTAATCATTGGAATGGAATCAGAATGTAATGTTGGAGCGGAATGTCTAAATCCTACCCGGATACAGCCATGTTATTTTATAATTGGCTGTTCGACAGCTTACATTCTTTTGATTGGTTGATGCGTGGCTACAGTGATTCTGTACTAGTTTGTTTACAAAATTGCGGCGCAACTTGGTGGGCGGTACCATGGAAAGAAATCTCTGCGTGAGAAATACAAGGTGTGGCGTGTGAGCGTGTGAATGGAGTGAAATGCGTGAGACTTGAGAGGTCTGTTAATATTGTCTGATAGCTGAGTTTTTTCCCGTTAAGTGGGTATGACACATTCATAGTTTGTTAAATGTTAAGAAGCCCTCAGACGCTGTTTCTTACAAGATGTTCTATTTCATCCCTACTGACCGCCAGAGGCGGTGCTTTAAGCACTGGATATGTCTATACCAATACCAACAAAGTCACCTGTGACCCGGCTATATCTGCCGGTGTCGTCAGAGGATCTGTTCCTTTCATCTTCTCGCTGTGCGAGAGTACCGTGGCTACTTTTTTGTAGCCTACAGCATTCGGGTTTGAACTAAAGGATTTTCTGCATACAGCTGGCTGTGTGCAGCTTCGCGACTCATCTTAGACTTTCTGGTGATGGCAGTGTTCCCGCTCCCATAAAGTTGCCCTTATTGTGCTCTTTCGTACTTTTCTGATTGTGGCGTTGTGCCCGAGCTATCAGTAGCATTTTGAGTTTCCAGCTTTAGCTGCGTTTTCTCGTTTAGTTTAGTTAGCAGTAGCGTGGCTCAGCCTAACTGTGTCCTGCTTGTGTGCAGCCGCAAAAGAGATGCTGTCCACATTGGGGAAGAGAGGGAACAATTGGACAGCAAACTGTGTCAATGACAAACACTTGTACAGTGGACAACCTCCTGTACACTCTGCATCTCGCAATAAAAAGGAGACCAGGCATTACAAATGATTTGTCAGAAAATGCTAATCTTGACTCATGGATGTCTACCCTGCTGCAAGTCCATAGGCTTTTTGAACAAAGGGAGTGGTCACAGGGAAAGCTGCTGTGGCTGAACACAATAGCCAGATTCAAAGGGAAATCATGGGATGCATTTGGGACTGAGGAGGACATGGTTGTTTCTCGACTGGACTACTTGCAAAAAACGGAAATAATACAAACATGCCAGAATGTGACTTGCCCTGTCGCCAAAAGGACATCCAACTCAGTTGATAAAATGTAAGTATTTCCCTATTTTGTGAAATTAAATTAATTTAATGTATTTAGTAAATCAAATGAATGTACTTGTAAGCAATAGTATAATGTATTGCACCCTAAAAGAAACTCTCGAGATAAAAATTGCAGAGATTGGTCATATTAAAGTTAATTTACTTATCTTTTTCAATTATGTTTTATTATTAGTGCAGATTTTGGGAACATACAGATGTAGCACCTAATTTCAGACAGTTTGAAATGCGAGGGCCGTGATTGGTACGTGATCTGCCCTCGCTCAAGGGAAAACCTCCAGCTTGACTTGAGACCTCCCCCGTGATAAATAAATGTAATTATAATGAAGCCAGCTGCAATGGATCATTGATCCACCAGGGGGTGCAGTGGGGTTCCACACTGGAGCTCATGTGAAATAAAGTCAGATACAGTACGCTGGATGTACAGCGGAACTTTGTTAAGATCCATATGTCACGGATATCATACTCTGTGCTAAATAGAGACATGTAATAATTTACAAAACATCACCATGTTGTTATTTAACAAAATAATGTTGTTTAGTCGAAAAAAACGAACGAGAGGAAATGCAGCCCGGCTCTCGATTTGTAATCCTAATTTAATCATCATCTTCACCACGATCATTTATGTTTATGTTCGCCGAATTATAATAATAGATTTAATTTGTTAGCGCTTTTACAGGTGCTCAAAGACGCTTTACAGATATAGTGAAGGGAAAAGAAAAGGAAGGAACAACAAATAAATATATAGTTAAAGTTAAAGTCAAATAATACAAAAACAATCACACATTAAAAGCCAGATTGAAGAGGTGAGTTTTTGTGAGTTTTTTGAAGGTGGTGAGGTCAGTGCAGTCTCTGATGGGTTGGGGGAGTGAGTTCCAGAGGGAGGGGGCAGCGACGGAGAAGGCTCTGTCCCCCCAGGTCCGGTGATTGGTGCGGGTGGGGATGGATAGGAGGTTGGCTTCTGATGAGCGGAGGCAGCGGGAAGGGGCGTGGTGGTGCAGCAGGTCTGTGAGGTAGGGGGGGGGGCCTGATTGTTGAGGGCTTTGTGAGTAATGAGGAGGACTTTGAAGTTGATTCTTTGACCGACGGGGAGCCAGTGGAGGTTCTGGAGGACGGGAGTGATGTGGTCTCGGGAGCGGGTGTGGGTGAGGAAGCGGGCAGCAGAGTTCTGGATATGTTGGAGTTTATTGATTAGGTTGGATGGTATGCCGTAGAGGATGCTATTGCAGTAGTCGAGTCGTGAAGTGATGAATGCATGAATCAGGGTTTCAGCAGCAGAGGAGGAGAGTGATGGGCGGAGACGGGCAATGTTTTTGAGGTGGAAAAAGGCGGTCCTGGTGATGTAATTTATGTGGTGATTGAATTTGAGCTGACTGTCGAAGATGACTCCGAGGTTGCGGATGTGAGGGGGGGGAGATACGAGTGTGGCTGTCAATGGTGAAGTTGAAATGGATGTCTTTGATACGGGATGGGGGGCCGATGATGATGATGTCTGATTTGGCACTGTTCAGTTGGAGACAGTTTGTTTGCATCCATGCTTTTATTTCTGAGAGACAGTTGGTGAGAGTGGAGTGTGTTGTGGGGGTGATGGTTTTTGTTGAGATATTATGTTGGATGTCATCGGCGTAGCAGTGAAATTGAAGGTTGTGGCGACCAATTATTTTGCCAAGGGGGAGCATGTAGAGGATGAAGAGGAGGGGGCCAAGCACCGAACCCTGGGAGACACCTTGGGACAGAGGAGCAGTGGAGGAGGTGCAGTTGTTGATGTTGATAAGCTGATGTCTGTCGGTGAGGTAGGATTTCAGCCAGGAGAGTGCAGTGAATTGAC